CAGAGAAGAAGGGAACTTAAAGGCTATTTACAAGATGGGTACAAAAACATACAAATACACACTCCCGAAGAGTCATGGTCACCCTCAGTATATCTGTTTTTGAGGCCCAAAGTTCATGGCAATATCATAGAGAAGGAACTTTAAGTGAGATAGAATATTAGTTTACCATTGCTACATAACAAATTACCCCAATCTTAGTTGCCTAAAATAAAACAAATTTATTATCTCTGGGTTGTGGGTTAAGAGTTCAGACAGGCTTGGCTAAGTTTAATGCTCAGGTGGAGGTTTTTGGGAAGAATGCACCTCCAAATGCACTGATTGTCATAGAGTTTATTTCCTTGTGGTGGTAGATTGAGGTCATTTCCTTGCTGGCTGTCAGCCAATGTTCACTCTGTGTTCTTTGAGTCCACCCACTTCTTCTCACGTGGTTCCTTCCATCTTAAAAGAAGTGACCCTTCAATTCCTCTCACACTTTGAATCTCTGCATTCTTCTTCTGCCTTCTTATTTTGCCACAGCAGGAGAAAGCTCTCCACTTTTATGGGCTCATGTGTTTAACTGGGTCCACCTACATAATCCTGGATTTTCTCTTTATCTTAAAGTAAACTGTGCCATATAACATAGTGTATTCATAAAACTGTTATCTGATCATATTCATATGTTTCTGGGGTAGGACAGCACATCACTGGGAGGTCATTTTAGAAATTCTAACAACCCCAATTGCTTTGGAATTTCAATAGCTAAACTTCCATTAAAAATATATGTATTTAGCCTGGACTGCATGGCTCAGTTCATTGGAGTGTCATACTGTGCACTTTGATTCTGATCGAGGCATGTGCCTAGGTTTTGGGTTTGATCACCAGTTAGGGTGTGTACAGAGGCAACTTATCAATGTTTCTCTTTTATACTGATATTTCTTGCTCTCCTTTACTCTCTTTCTAAAATCAATAAATATATCCTCAGGTGAAAATGACAAAAAAGAGATATATTTAATTTTATTATATGACAAAGATATTAATGGTATTTTTATTAAGCAGGAGAAAGCAAGAAGAAGAAGAAAGAAAGAAAGAAAGAAGATGAGAGCAAAAATCAACTATCTACTGAAAGAAAAACAACCAGTATAAAATGTGTCTTTCCAGGATTCCAGATAAAAAAAAGAATATAGAACTAAGAGTCCCATGGGGAAACCCCGGTATAAAAAGAACAGATTGAACATAGGTTTATCTCTGCTCCCTCTACTCCACTGAAATTACTTAAAAAACTAAAATAGAATAAAAAGTGTATAAATAGTAGGAGCTTCTTCTTTCTACTAGCAAAGTGTTGGAAGCTACATAAGTGCCCATCAGTAAATGCATGCATCAAAAAACTGTGGTATATTTACACGATGGAATACTACACAGCAGAAAGAAAGAAGGAGTTCCTACCTTTCACAACAACATGGATGGATTTGGAGAGTATTATACTAAGTGAAATAAACCAGGCAGTAAAAGAGAAATGCCATGTGATCTCACCTTTAAGTGGGACCTAATCAACAAAACAAACAAGCAAGCAAAATATAACCGGAGTCATTGAAATCAAGAACAATCTGACAGTAACCAGAGGGGGGGGGAGGAGGGAAGGGTTTTCAGGAATAACTATAAAGGACACATGGACAAAACCAAGGTGGGGTGGAAGCAAGGGAGGGAGGTGGGGATGGCTGGGGTGGGGCATGGAGTGGTGGTGGGGGGAAATGCAGACAACTGCAGTTGAACAACACTAAAACAATTTTAAATAAATAATTTTAGTAAAAGAAAAACTGCTTGGCAAATTATTAAAACTATTTAAATCGTGACATCAAGTGAAAACTCAGAAGTTTTCTAGTTAAAATAGTAAAAGAAAATGTGTATAGTGTTAATATTTTTGAAAGCTTGATAGAAAAAAAAGTGTGTAAATACGAAAGGATAAAAAAGCCAGGTGAAAACTGAACAACTGACACTAGAGGTCAACAATGTTTTGAAAGATGGCAAACTGGTTCATGGAACTGACTTAGCCAAGCAAGTTTGCCGAAATCCAGATGCCTCTAGAGGAGGATGGAGCCCAATTCACTGTTCATTATTTAATTAAAACATAGATAGCATTCCATTTCTCCCTGCACAGCAGAAGTTGCAGCTTTTCCAAAGCAGGAAATACTCCCCTTGAAGAGCAAATATTTAAAATGGTCTTGATTTGTTGAATGCATACAATCCCATTAAATTAATAAGGGTAAACCTCTCAAGAACATCCTTGGTACTTTTCACTGAAAGCCTTGTACTGTCTCAAGGTCAATTCATTAGGTTGTTAATGTCTGATCAAAGTTGAAAGGACAGGACTGGCCTTGGGGCTTGCACAGGGCTTCAGGGTTGTTTAACACACTGTGCAATTCTTAGGACCATGGGAAGCCTTGCTAATTCTCATTCAATTCCTTAGGACATGGTATTTTTCATTCTGCAGAAATTTATTCAGAAATACTTAAGAAGCAGCCGTTCCTTATCTTCAGATTATTTGCTTTTTTTGCCTTATGTCTAGATTTTTTTCCTAAAATACTAAAAGAATAAAGAGAAATGAGGGATATAATATACCCCAACAGAAAATTGATACAATAATATACATGGTTTCCTATTCACAAATATCTGAGTCAAAGTTGAAAGCATTGTGGCTATGACAGATGGGAGGCAACAAAGGCAATCTTTTTTTCTGAAGCTACCGCACATCCTAATGATAGAATGATATCCCCACACCTATGTGCATGTACCTAAACGTGTGCTCAGTCTACTCTCTTTACTGGGCTGCTCTGTTACAGCTCCATTGCTTCTACACTTTGACTTTTCCCTCCTTCTTGTTAAAAACTAAATATTCACTGAGACTTTATATTATACATATAAAGTTCAATAATGGATTCAATATTGAATATTCCATGTTCAATAATATAATATATATTTGATACATATAGATATAGATATAGATATGCATGGAATATATCTATGTATAGATATATAATCATATATAGATACATATATAGATATGTATAGATCTATCTATAGATATATATAATATAAACATTGGTCATTTTAAGTGGCAACATATTAGGAAAGCTCAGTACTGTAAAATCTAAATAAAATTTAGCAATGGACTAGCTCTTTTTCTCCTTACTCACCCATACATATAAGAACTGAGCAAGATCTAAATGCAATTGGGCTAAAGGAAGGAAACCATATTTAAACAGAAGCTAAGATGCACTAGCATACTTTTTTTCCAGATTCCTGATTTTTATATTATCATGCATAATATCATAACAACATCAATGATATGGTGAGGGATTAGTGGTTGGTAAAAAAAATATCCAAGATTGAATAGATTTTGCACAATCATGCAACCAGGAATATGTTTTAATTCTAAGCTGATAAATCACCAATTCTTCAAATCAACCAGAATCCAGAAAAAAATTGCTTGAATTTACTTTTTATACCTTCTATACATATTAATATACTGTAGAAAAGAAGAACACTTATCTCCTTTGTAAAGACATAAAATATAATACCCTAAGTTTCCACACAAATATGTTGCCCTGTTTATGATATGGCAATCAATATGTTAGTTGAATATGCCTCAAAATGTAAAGATACTACTTTTTGCTTTTGCTGTCTACAGTAAATTGCACATTCATTGGAGATGATTGTGCAGAAGTAACTAATACCCATTAAATAGTAATGGGCATTACTGCTAATTTATTGGCACTACTACTTATAAGATGAAAAAGCAGTTAACAATAGCATAATCTAAAAGAATATGAATGCTCTGAAATATCATCGAATAATATAGCTCAGAATCTGAATAAGTTTACCTGTTTCAAGGGACCCAATATCACCTCAAAATGTGCATGGGTTTGAGTTTATTTTCCCAGTAGCAATGACAAATTTATAGGGAATATTCATGTTGTCCAATTTGAGTCCTCTACAACCAAGCAGCATGCATTTATGAAATGGTTAGTTTTAGATATGTTTTCCAAGCATTATGACAAGTTCATATTGTCTCTCAGTCTGGGATATCATTTTTGGTTCTTTTGTACCTGCTAAAAATTGGAGCTTGGGACTTTCAGCAGCCTTGTCCCCATGGCAGATGGCTTAGATGAACTTGAGCTTCATTCCTTGGCTAATTAATCTATAAAAGTGTGAATTATTTACCCTTGCCTTTCCTTAACATGTGCTTCACATACTTCATTTACTAAGCTCAGAGGAACATTCAGGTAAATTTACTTCTGAAATGTGTGTTGAACAGAAATGTAGTGGAGAACTTCAAAATACAAGCTGGTCGAATCAGAGGACACAGCATAAAGGACTTTACAGATCCTACATGGGTCTGTGCCAGAAACAGGTTTGGCCTCAGTGAGCTCCTGCCTCACACAATTTGACAAAGGCATCCTTTCAGAGCTTTAGAATCCTAGGTTAAATAGAACCCAATCAGGGTCACTGCTTTAGCCCAATAAACTCCCAATCATTTCTCCAACATGTTCCAAAGTGTAAGTCCTTCCCCAGTCCTTATAGGCAGAATTATAAGGTACTGAAGTACTGAAGTTTTAGCTCATAGCCCTATGGAGTTGTGATAGGTCATGTTTTTGTTCATATCTATTTCACCTTAGCAACCCCAGAATCTAGCCCACTGCTTAGATTCCTTACTTGAATAAATGAATAATCAAGTGAATTGAAAATAAGTTGCTTTAGAAAAATCTCTTCCTACATTCTTTTCACCTTAAGGTACCAAAATATAATTCCTTCAACCACCAAGGGAATAGAACAATCATAAAAAAAATATAGATATAACAATGAATTTTAAAATTGAGAATTTAAGTCTATAAATAGCTCTTTCAGTTTTTATTCTTATTTTAAGAAGCAGAAAGGTTATGTGATTCAGTATAAATAGATTAACATTTGCAATAGGCACTCAAGAAATCAGCCCTAATTTGAATGTTATTATAGTTAATACTTACCCATAGCCAATGACTCCCTCTGAGTGAGTCACCAGTAAGGCCCCAATGGTCATATTCAGAACATTCTCTAGTACTCCAGTCTGTTGAGCAGTGATAATCTGGTGAGCCAAATTCTGTAATGTGTCACTTGATAAGGATGGAATCAGTCCAGTGCTGCTTGCTGTTGGCAGATCACCAATTTCAATGACCATCACTTTTGAGATAGTTTCCATGGTGGTTGGTGGTGGGAGCCTATCTGAGTTCATTTCCATCATGAGAGGTCTACGTTGACCAACTCTATAATGACTGGCACAAGTCACAGTTGGGCAATTACGCTTTCTTTTTGCTCTACGGTCAGCAATGGCCTTTAAGGTTACTTCATTGCCAGGCATGTCATGAATAAATCTTATTTGGTCTTGGCTAACCTGCAAGAAGTCAGTTAGTCTTTCAAGCATCATGATTTCCCAGCCTTTTTCTAGGACTGAAAACATCACAGTGAAGGCCAAATGGATGGAAACACCTGAGCGTATTTCAATGGGCTCCTCTCCTTGTAGAACAACATACAAGAGGTTATCCACGATGCTGAAATAGTTGGAACCAATAGGCTTATCTAGCAGTGAGGACGTTGATTGAACCTGAGTCGGTGGAATGAAACTTCCCCTTAAGAAAACATGGGGTCTCTGGAGTTCATGGTAGAATATAGCCAACAGAAGCTTGGAGGCACTTTTGTTCCCCAATAGAAAAAACCGCAAAACTTGAGGTGTCTGATCCACAAAGCAGACCTTAGTGGTTTCCCAGGTGGGTAAAATGGAATAGAAAGTAGATGCTGACCCTGAAGCAGAGCAGGGAGTGTTGGTATTCACACTGCTAAAGATGTCAACAAAACCACTAGTCACAGATACAACAGGATATAACTTCCTCATTGTCCAAGGGGCATCAGCATTGTCAAGAATTAAGATCACTTGGTCAGTCTGTTTGCAGATGTAGCCTTGCATCAGGGATCTGTATGTGCATTTCTGTTCTTCTCTAAATGTACCTATAAAATAAATGAAAGTAAACAGGTAACATATGAACCACAATCTCTCAAAAACGATTTGCAATTCATCACTTTCATCATCATCTGTAACCTTATGAAATATTTATTGAACACTTAGGTGTGCTAAATACTGAGAATGCAAAGGAATCTTGGGCAAAATGTGAAAGATACATACAGTACATAATAGTTATTTAATATAATTTAAATGTCTATGTTATATATGTAAATTCCATAACATATATGTAATTTAAAGTTAATAATGATTATAATAGCTTAGTATAAAAACAGTGAATAAATAAAATATTTTTTTAAAAAGAATAGTTACTATGATTTCCATAGTGAAAAAAGAAAAACAGGAGAGCATGGGGTAATATTTGAATCAATGGGTAAAGAAGTAAATTAAGGGAGCTGGAGCAGAGAATGTACAGAAGAGTATTAAAAATGAAGAGGTATATTCTGACCAGATTGTGAAAGAGTTTTCATGTCAGACTACAGCACTTTCTCATACTTTCTTTCTCTCTAAATAAAGAGTAAAGAAATACAAGGAGAAGAAAAAAAGTAGTAATTGGGGGTAGTTGAAGATAATCAAGGCTAATAAGAATATTTTTTAAAAGCATTATCCATTAATCCCACCATTCCTAATCCTCCTGTCTATGAACCTAGAGTAGCTCTTATTCTGAATCCATAGAAATGTTTTATCTTCCCACAAATAATTCCTTTAATTTAAAATTGATATACGCAAAATCTTCTTGTATTGTTTTATAGATATTTAAATTTGCCTTTTTGTAAGTACATCAAAGTTGATTAAGGACTGGAATAGCAACAAAAACTCAAATTATTACTGATGCAGGATATTCTAAATTTGAGCATGATCTGGCCTCCTCCTACACCCTTCCTTCCATATGACATAATTAGAAATCTGTGCCAAAGTTGCTGATTATCAGAAAATTTAATTACCAAAATGTGACTTCAAGAGTAAGGCAAATGGTTTACTTATACCTCATAATAACATAAACTACAGTAAGCATTATAAGGGAAATTGTTAAATATTTTAAATTAAATGATAAAATTTTAGCATATCAAAATTTGTGGGATGCAGTAAAAACAGTACATTGAAGAAAATTTATCATATTAAATGCTTAAATTCTAAAAAGAATTGTCTAAGAACAATGCCTTATATCACCACCTTAAAAACTTAGAAAAAGAACAAAGCTAACCCAAAGTAAGTAATAATAAAAGAAATAATAAATATAATAGCAGAAATCAATGAAATAGAATAGAAACAAACAAAACCAGAAATTTGAGCAAAGCTGAAATTTGCTTCTTGGAAAATATTAACAAATTGAATAACCCCTCACTAGACTGTTCAAGATACAAAGGAAGAGAGCACAAATCTAATTTCAAGACTGAAAGAAGGATTAATACTACAGATCCTCTGGGCAAAGATTGAGACTATAACAAACTTTGTGCCAACAAATTCAACAACTTAAGTAAAACAGACAAATTCCTTGACAACAAACATAAGATAAAACATAAACATAAAACTTGAGGCCCTGGCTGGTGTAACTGAGTGGATTGAGCATGGGCTGTGAACCAAAGGGTTGCTGGTTCAATTCCCAGTCAGGGCACATGCCTGGGTTGCAGGCCAGGTCCCTTGTGGGGACTATGTGAGAGGCAACCACACATGATGTTTTTCTTCCTCTCTTTCTCCTTCCCTTTCCTTCTCTCTAAAAATAAAAAAAAAATAAAAAAACCCCACAAACCTTGAATTGCTCTATGTCTCTTTAAAAAACTGAATTTACTAAGTTGAAAACTAAATTATTAATTTAAATAAAGATTTAATGATCAAATATCAATAAATGGTCACTTTTATACAGTGTTTTTTTTTTCTCCCTATAGTCCTATAATACGGAAATGCTGATGTTAGATCAAGTATCATCTTCCAAAGCATGGAACCAGTATGAAGACATGATCTAAATAGCCAAAGAGAATTACTTGCATGATTTTAATAGCACAATAGCCATTGTGCTTTGAGACCCTAATGCGTAAATCTGTACTACCAGTGCTACATACTTTCCAAATGAGATAGTTCCCCTTTTCTAAATTCTATGGCTCACCCTCCATTGCATACACTTTTTTCCCAGCCATGTTGATGCCATTGATCAATCATACACATTCCATCTGGTTTTATAGATCTCGGCCTTGTTCTTCTTTCTCATGCAAAAGACATAACATCTAAAGTGACTCCTACAGACTGCTAAATTCTTGGAATTGTCCCTAAATAGAATAATTATTCTCTTAGTTAATATGATCCTCAATTATTCCCTGCTACTAACTGACTGTATGTACTTTAATAACTTATATTAACTTAGTAGGCATGAGTGTCCTTACTGGGTTATTTCTCAGAGCCACCGGCTATATCCCATATTTAAATTACTACAGGGCTTAACACACTACCTCAAACACAGTAGATGCTCCTTAATATGTATTAATTGTGTATAATGTCTTTTTTAAAACTGATATTCTTTAAATAATCTTTGTCTATTCTTGCCAGGTGTCTAGTTATAAGATTATTATTCTATGACTCAAATATATTTTACACCAACTCATCGGAACAATAATAACAGAGTATACTATACAAATTTATTATGAGACCTGCCCCATGAATTGATACTAATATGATAACTCCATACTGTGACAAATTGAGCTATTTTACATAAACCATAAGATTGAAATTATTGCTAACTATATTTATATAAATTTTCTTCTGTTCTGGAATCATAATTAATTGCAAAAAATCTGTCATGACAAAATATTTCATTCTTGGTTAATTTGTTAATTCATTAAATAACTACACATGTAGGAATGTGAATTTTTCTTTTACTTCTAGTCCTCATGTCAGATGCTTTCTAAAGCTAAACTAACAAAAATGGACCATCTATAATGATTCAAAGATTGTTTAGGAGTAATGATGTACAGGAGCTATTCTAGTGGAATGCATACCTTCAAAGCGGTCCAGTGATAGAGTTCTTTCCACTTATTTATTTCCATATATTCCTCCTAGAAACTAGTCTACCAAAGGCTGGACCCTCAAGTCATCTTTGTCCTTAGGACCCAAATATCCTATTCTCTTATTTAGCAGTGACACTGGATGGGGCAGAGAATGGCTGACTACCCATATAGGAAGCAGGACCTCAAGAGGCAGAAGACAGGAATGGAGGAGAGAAGGGTCTGAAACAGGAAGGGCCCAAGGAGGTTTGAATGTGAGAGATAGAGAGTGCACAGCATCTGCTGAATGTGTTGCAGAGCATATGCACACCCTGGAGGGTCTAGGACTTCAGTCCAGTGCCCATGAGCAAGCTCAGGAATAAGGTGAAAGAGTATAAAAAGTCACTGTCAAATCTTTGTAACTTATTGGAATTTGGTATGAGCTGGATTTTACCTCTAGAAACTGAGGCCAGGATTCAATAAACATTTATTGGGATTCCTTGCATATGCTTAACTTGCTGCAGGTAAGATTTTGTTATTAACTATATCACTTCTTTCTTTGGTAAGGAGGAAATCACCTTTCTGTTATTATTAAGAACTGTGATGTTATTTGGGATACAAGGCAGGTACATATGGCTACTCAAATAGGTATCAATTATTTGTTATCTTCCTGATTTCAGAGTATCTAGTGTACTACCAATTAAATGTATTGTTTTTATTCCTAATTTATTCCTTTTTTATGTTCTGAGACTGTGTATGAACATCTTACTATGAAAGGAATGCATACATGTGCTCTGATTTCTGAGACTTTTCGTTGGAGACTTACCACTATGATCCTCATGAAGTCAACAATTAGTATCTCCTAATTTAAATAAAAAGTTTCATGAAATGTTGGTTATTTTAAAGTGTCCTCTTCACACCTTCCTTCCCATACCTTCACCAAATAGAAGGCACATCCATTTGGTTCATTGTGACTCTAAAGAATACTTAAATTACTTCTTTGGTTCAGTTCTCCTTGACAAAGTATAAAATAAATAGGATAATTTCTCTTCAAAACCATGTGCTCTTTATAATTTTTGCTATCCTAGAAGTAAGACTGTATAGAAAAATCTGTAATGAATGACATAATTATATTTGAATGCTACCAGCCTTATGAAGGATATAGTGTTTTTCTAGCCCCAAATGTCTCAGAAGTCAGAGCTGAGGTTCCTGTGACAGTAGCGTGAGAATGATGATTGGGAAAGGACAGCCCCAAACCTCTTTGTAAAGGAGATACAGCTGCCTATATGTAGCATCTACCTTCTGGGGAAAAATGATTTATATAGGAGATACATAATTATAGTTAATTAGAAAATCCTTTTACAAAGGAAGTTAAAATAGAAAAAAATAATAATTCCACTAAACAATCATATAGTCACCTCTGGTAGTACAGGCTTACTTCTAGCATGAATTTCTACCTTGGAGTTTTGACAATAAGGATTTTATACAAAGGGAATGTCCTATGTGAGCTGAGAAGTAGGTTCTTTGAAAATAATAATTATTAAAATTGATTGAAATAAATCAGTCTGGCATTCAAGATGGGTTTGTGAAAAGCCATTAGTGCACAACTATGGTAATTCAGAGCGTCATAAAATGTACCAGAAAAAAAGTCAGATAGTCATGGTTAGTCACAAGCTGAAATTATGTAGATAAAACAGAATGCATAAAAAAGGAGAGACTGACATTAGAGAAAGTGGGTGAATGACAGACTATACTCCATGAGCAGGTAAGAGAGAACAGGGTTCCAGAACTCTTCCAAAGCAAGTTGTGTTTGATAGGTCAAAGACTCCACCTCTCTGAGCAGGAAGGACGGAAAGTGTTCTTGCAAGTGAAGGAGGGTGGGAGATTAAAGTCCCTCTTAGCTGCTGGGACAAATGAGGCAAAGAAAGGTCATCAACTGAAAGTCAAGTGTGAGGGTGTGTGCTGGGAGTTGAGATGAGGGCAGAGAGGATGGGTGGATTGTTAGTAGACTG